TAGCTTTATCTTTATGACTAAACTCTTGTTACGACTGTAGCGTCGAACAGTTCGCTATAATTAAAATACTTTCATTTATACAAATCACGACTAATTAATCATCATAAAAACATTTCGAGTGAATATTTAAGCGTGACCTGGAGGAAAAAAAATCGCAATGCCTAAGAAATGCAGAGCATTAAACAAATATTCCCAAGACATGTGATGTTAGCCTTGAGGTATACATTGCACGACCCACACAGAGACAGTCCAGTTGAAACTTGGTTTTACCGTATTAACAACGCGACTAAGATGACTTCAATAGATTCTCGGCCGTCAAGCAGATTTTGTAAAAGCGTGTAATCATTGGCAAACCCAATAAGCGGCTGCTCTTGGCTGTTAATTCAAACGTAGGAACTTTGCACTTGTGACTTCATTCGGTCCCTTTAAAGCTTCGACGCGGCCCTCTTATCTGCCTAAGTGGCGGTAGGGAGGCGGAAGGGAAGGGAGCTGTGCTCGCACACACTTAATTCGACTCCTCTCTACCGGTTGCGCCTTTATTTCTCAACAAACAAGGGCCCTGAATATCCAAGTTGCTCGCATTTCTCGTCCCACTGCAAAAAAGAAACGCATCGAACTTGTAGCGTGAGTTTCGTGGCAGGCATCGGGCGGTGTGGTTGGAGGGTTGGGGGTTGGGGGCGGGGGAGGAGGGATACACAGTACTAGTAGTAGACGAGTCATAAGATTTAATATGCAATAACGGAAACGGATCTTCTCCAGTTTGATCTAAAAATTTGGGGCTACTTAATTCAGGGGATTTGCTTGCAAATTCGATTAAGTATTGCTTTAAATAATTGTTTTAAATATAATCGTTTTAATGGATAATGGCGCCATGCGCGTGCTTATGAATATTTATCGGGAGCCAAGTACAGCGCAGTCGTCAAGTACAATCGCTTAATAATTCAGTTAAATTTCTGACATCTATCATTTTCATTTCCAATTTTTCGAATAGCGCTCCCTCGAAAATTAAAATGTAAGATGTTGACGAGATGATATAATAAATATATTTAAAGTTGCTCTTTTAAATCAATCGGATGACGAAATAAACGAGCAAGCGCACAAGTGTGCCGTGCATTTAGCGACATCCAGACAATTCCGAAAGAACTCGAGCGACAGAAAGCGTGGCTCTTCCCATTTGGGGTGGGGGGATGATACCTTTGCGACAAGAATCTCCTGGCAGATTTATCATAGAGATGCGTAAATTGACACTTTTCGTGTAAATTTATTCCAATTAAAGTCGAGAAAAAATAAGATGGCGTCAAATGACACTATTTTGACGTTCTATTAATTACGTCGTATTCTCCTGTCCTTTGAGTGGTTTTGCAAATCATCTCGCGGTTAAGTTATAATCTCGAGAGTGGAAAACCGATTGGTCGATAGCAGAGTTTGTTCAATTTTATCTGGAGATGCTATTACTGGATCATTAATTAATTGTCATCTTTTTTTTTTTTTTTTTTTTGCTTTCTTTCTTATTAGTAGATTTATTTTTTTGTTCGATTATTGAAAGATTTGTGATTTTGTCATTTATAACACCGCATTTAGTTGACGCTTTTTCGTTTTTTTTTTTTAGTTATCGCGGTTGACTTACTTAACAAAATACTGAGTGTAAAAATTTACGATCCCAGAAAAAGATATTTTAAATTAGTTTTTTGTTATGTGACTATGTGCAATTTTTGAGCTTCTTTCCAAAGTTTTTCAGAATTGACAGTGACGCGGCGACACCGAAACAAGCAAAACACCGCGATTAATAATATTTTAATCTTGACGATAATTTATCGACGACTTTTGACTGTTCGATCGCAGTGATGTAATAGTGAGCTAATAAAAACGAAGATCCTCAGGTTCGATTAATATGTGTCCGGTAACTATATGAAGCACTGCTCAATGTATTTCGGCATATTTTTCTTACGTAATCCATATATCTACCATGGATTTCGTTTTATTGGCATGATTTAAAAAACATTTACATTAATAGTCATCTATTATCTTGGAAATTGGTTGATACGATAAATAAGTTATGATACATCGTTTAACGGTAAATAGATATCGTATATATAAAATGAAATGCTTGAAATGTAACGTTGAAAAAGGTGCGTAAGATAGTGTATTAGAAATATGAACGTGCGAAGAAAGGAAAACGATGAAAATGTCTGATAACAATATAAATTACTTCGTTAAAGAAAATATCTAGAGGGAGAGAGAGAGAGAGAGAGAGTAAAATCTGAACATTCCAGACAATAAGTCGTGAACCAATAGGAATCGATGCATTTGAGGGACGAGGAGAGGCTAGGGGAGAAAGGAAGCATTAATCAAGCGATTGTATTTAATATTCAAAAGAAAGCTACTGCAATAAGAACCATGTCCTTGTAAATTATGAAAGCTCGTAAATCCTGGCTATGATTTCAGTTGAGCGGGGGCGCATCATAAACATTTTCTAATGCATTTACGCATATTTATACTTTATTCGTTAATAATATTTTATATCCTGATAGTGAAATTCATTATTTCGATTATTCTTACAAAATAGTCATAAATCAATGTTACGCAATGTGTTCACTAAGCCTGATTAAAAAGTCAATGGTGATAATTATTATATTATAATTTCAACGTTAAAGGCTAAGCTTGTAATGTTAGACCGTGAAATTCAATAATCTCATTGTGATTTCACATGCGAGTTGTGATTAAACTAAATGATACAATAACATCCGCGACTGTTAGGATTTTTATTCGCACAGCACCGCAAGTCTGGTAAGCAATTTATCAGAAGATGGTAATACGGTCATGCTCCTTGCTGTACTATCGATGCGTGTGCAAGTATTGAATAATAAAGAGAGGGACGAGGCAAAAAAAACAAACAAACAAACAAGAACGAAGACTCATAAAATTAATTTTTCAACAGGCCCGAGCCTCCTCGCAGCCAGCTAATTGCCTCATCCACTATCACCAACTTGTCAAATTTTATGTATCGAGCGTTCGATCGGTCCTCCCCACCTCATTAATGCCGTGTAATTACAAAAATGACCAAATAGCTGATTATCGAACCGAACGATCGATGCTCTTATGACATAATCGCCATCCTTCCACTGAAAAGAACCTCCCACCCCAACCCCAATACGTGTCGCCGTCAAGACTGCAAGTGTGTAAATACAGGCCTCTCCGGCCTCGCAAACCGCCGCCAGGAAAAGCCTAATGTAAGTGTGCATATCGTAGAGCCTCGGGACACCCTCGCCTCCGTAATTACATTGCGTGGCTATGGATGGACAAGTGCGTTTAGACGGGGGGGGGGGGCGTTCGAGATGCGATTGGGAGAATGTGCGCGTGCGTGGGGACTGGTTGCGTAATATCGACCGTCGGCGAGATCCTCCCGCGACCCCACCCTGGTCTCTGTGCGTACGGCGGCGCAACGTAATCCTGCGAGGGGGCGAGGAGGGGCTGACGCGCCTTTTCGTCCCGAGGCTTAAGCCGCTGCCCTTGACAATGCGAAAAGATACGTCGCATTGTCAAGCCCCCCCCCCCCATCCGCAACTTCGATCTGGCATCCGATTCAGCACTCTGCATCGTTAGGATCGCTCTCTCTCTCTCTTCCCCTCGTGCGGCCACTTTCCTTGACCAACGATTGTGCTTGCTTTTCAGCAAAATTCTGATTCGAACATATCGTTACGTATTTATCTCCCGCTTTCGTAACCTTCTGCCATCGATAATTAATAGCCGAAAACTCTTGGCGGTCGCCTTCCCTATGCGCTCGTCAACTTTTATCGATCGCCACCTTATACGAGCTTACTCAACGATTACTTAAGCGATTTTCGCTCTATCGACGAACGCTCGTCGGACTCCCGTTACGTCATAATAAAATGACGGCAATTTTCGAATTTTTCATCTCTCGTCCCATCGCATTCCCGATAGATCGAGCTTCTGCGACCCTTCGGCGACCCTTCGACGCCCCTTTTCCACACGCTCGTCCGGACAGAGCGTATGCAACAGAAGCGCCGCACCTACGGAGAAAATTCCCCCGACTCCCGGGAAATAGAAAACGGGAGAAAAAAGGCATCCCAGACACGAGCGACTCTCTCCTTCGTCGTATCCTTTTCTCTCATTACACTTATAAATGCTCCTCCTCTCATGCGCCTGACCGACTGTCCTCCTCTCCGTCCATCTTTCATTATATTTCCTCACTATCCCTCTTCCTTTCTCGTCCTTTCTCGCCCCCACCCTCCCACCATAACACCATTCGCCTCATCCCCGATACAGCTGTCCCCCTCTTCCTTCACCTACCAACGGCCGTGCTCGGTGTGCACACGCACATTCCCAGCGTGGCTGCTCCTGCTCCCCCTTACCCTATCGGCCGCCCCTCTTCGTAGTCGCGGTAGTATGCGCGCGTGTACACACACAATCGCGGCAGCACGCCGACAAAGCGCATGAAGAGAGAGAGAGAGAGAGAGAGAGAGAGAGAGAGAGATAGCGTACGCTCCGGTCTACACACCTCGCGGCACACGCTGTACTTAGTGATAGCGTAGAGACTGTGGCGTACGGTTCGCGGTGCGTGTCTGCCTCTCTTTGGGCCCCGACTGACTCCTTATCGCGTCCCACAAGCCACACGACACGCGCAGAGTCGAGCGCGAGTAGTGCTTCGTCCGGGAGGGAGCGGTCATCGAGGTAGAGGTAGAGAGAGAGAGAGAGAGAGAGAGAGAGGGAGTGAGAGAGAGAGGGTGAGAGAGGTAGAGAGGTAGAGAGTGATATATACGGGGATCGTCGTCGATGGCGCCGGCGAGAATCGGCGCTCCATAATCGCGCGGCGGCTGTCCTTTTTCGCCATAACCACACCCCTAGACGTATCTCGCGCGGGAGGACGACGCGCACAGCGGTGGCTGGAGGACGCCTATCGATCCCAAGCCCGGACAGGCAGTCGAACCGACAGCAGGAGGTAGCGGCGCATGGACCTGGATAAGCGGGGAGGAGGTGCCGCGTAATCTTACGCCAGCTCCGTTAATACTTACGTTAATACGTGCAACGTACTCCTCGTCCCCTCGTGTGTCGACCCGCGAACCAGCACAAACGGGCGCCGGCGATCATGGGCGGATGTACCTCCAAGGATACCGCCTCGAGCGATGAGTACGTAGCGTAACCCTTCCCTTCTCCCACCCGCTCCAATCCTTGTATTATTATCATCATTACTGTCATCAAGACTTGTTGCGTCGTCGTCGTCGTCGTCGTCGTCGTCTTCATCATCATCATAATCATCATCATTATCATCATCATCTTCATCGTAATCGGTGTCACCACCCTCACCACCCTCGTTCTCTCTCTTCTCCGTTCTTCCTCAATCGATAATCTTACTCGATTATTTTCCTGTTCGATCTTATTGCTCCCCGTGTCTCCCCTAATACATAAAGAAGACGCCTTGCATTAGGTATTCGAGGAGCGCGATCGAGAACATCATCATCCTGCCTCGTACCTTTATCCGATTACTCCAAACTCTTCTCCTCTTCGAATGCAACGGCAGAATGATCGTAAAATGTCACCTCTATATTACTGCATGCCTTGATCATCTAGTATTCTGCGTAATAATAAGTTATTGTTTTAATGTTCGTCTCTGGCGGAAAGCATCATAAGTTCACCTCGTACTTTCGAGCACAGAGAGAAAAGAAATCCTTTTATTATTTTTCTTTCTTCTTCTTCTTCTTAATACGTTATATTATATCTAGCTGCTTGCGTTTTTCATAGTGTATTTTATGATACTGCCTGTGCTATACGTACTACTCTTCGTATTACACAAACCGACATTCGTAACTCCATTGTAAACTCATCTCGTAAATTATATATTAAATAATAGCGCTAATCCCAACAGACGCTTGTCGCCTCCTTCGTCTCTTTTATGTGCTTATTACGAAGCAATAAAGCCGACGAGCAATCTACCGATAAAACTGTCTCCCACCCATCCCTTGTACGCCCGAATCTCACATCCCCTCTGCCCTCTAAAAAATTCCATTGCTCACCAGGTAGATCGAGCCGGCAGCACGCGCTCGCGTTAATTACTCGGAAAAACTCAAATTCGAGTGCTCGGAAAAGATGTCACCGGGCACTTTTGTCTCTTAATTTACGCATCGCACTCCTCCTTACTTGGCTATAGCCTATATATACTATATCATCGGCCGGAACTCCTTAACATGTGTGCGCTACCACGATGTCGCGTGACTACGACAAAAGGGTGAAAGGAGCCATTTAGTCGCCGAGGGGTTCGCAGGATTAGCAGAAAACAAAAAGGCACAACCCAACCGACCGTTGTCGATTAGAATTACAAAAAAATTTTTAAGCTTCTCTATCTTATCTCTCTGTGCCCGTGCATAATGAAATCAGTGTGCATTGAATGGGCGACGGGGAGGTATGCGAATTCAACGCTCGAGACGGATATTAACCGATTTGTACTTTGAAGAGGCACGCTGCATTACCGACCGAGCCGTAAATGCCGGCACGTGCACTCGCTAGACGACTGCATGGAAAATTAATTTCACGTTCGGGCAATTTCTTTCGAATTTTTGCCTTTCACGGATTAGGGCCCTCACTTGCCCCATCACCCATCTCCTCCTCCCGTCCCTCCCGTATCCATACCTTCGCTATATTATTATACTATATTATGGCGTACGTAGGGGCAGTTTTGCGGCAGTATTATGTCACTCTGTTCAAAGAAGAAGCCGAGCTCGATTGTATCTTTTGCATGCGCAAAGAGATGTGCTATAAATCGATCGGATACGCGGAGGTGCAAAAAGGACGATGTCATTAGCGCCCAGACCGATCGATCGAGCGATGAGTATCTCTCAGCCAAGCGACATTTCGTAATGATTGGCAAGAACGCGAGGCTTTTTTTACAAACACGTGTCGCATACGCGTTCGCTCGTTTCTCACGTCGGCTAAATCGTCGGCTAAATCGTCGGCTAAATCGTCGGCTAAATTGACATTCATCCCTACGTATTCTTCTAGCATTTCGAAATATCGCCAAACTCGGCGGACGTTTGACGAGACGACAAAACCACCTAACGATGGACTTTTTAACATTAGTTTTGATAATCGTCGAATTATAAATTATAAAGTACTTTCATCATACGTCGGTGCTCGACACTTTTCTTTATCGAGGCTCAATGGCATATTGAGTAAGCCAACAGAAATCGGCCTCATAGCTTTATTTATAAAAATAGTTCGATAATGTTTGTTAACCTGGATTTACTTTAAACAGCGCGTATAATCCCTAAAGCTACTTTAATGAAGGGAAATATTCGAAAAATAAGTTTTTTGTATAACTTGGTTTCAGTATGCACTACACGGGCCATTTGCGTAACTTTCTATAATATTAAATTACCAAGTCTATAAAATATTTGTTATCACTGATATCACCATTGAGTAACAAAGAATTATTCTATTTAATTAATCAGCGCGTGTAGACATGTCGTTGGCGGCATGTATATGTTATGTATTCACCGTGGGCTTGGTCTTTGCTCGGGAATAAGTTTAAGAAAATTTTAACGGATTTTTCTTAAATATTGCAAAATACGCTAGACTATTCGCGACTTTGGAAGAAATTCCAGAAATCGAATTGAAGCATTTACAATAGATAAGAAAAAAAAAATATATATATATATATAGATAGTGCAATTGTCTCTTGTAAAAAAATCACATTTAATGAAATGTTATTTGTGCTTGAGCTCTATAATGATTTATAATTATTTTTAAAAATTTTCGAACCTTATTTTATGCTAAATCGTGAGTAGTAAATGAATTCGTCACCTCGCAACAAAATCACAAATAAATTATTAATTCGTTAAAACTTATTTGTAGCTAGGCGAGCCTTTCTTCTAAATTCTCCGGAGCATCTTCCGGTTATCTAGCAATCCTTTTCTGTAATTCACGACGCTGTGCATTCAAATTAATCTTTACGCAATCTAAAACGAAGACATTGTGAAATTTTTTTTCTTTCGCGCATTTCACTCACGCATCCCATAATAATTGTTTGATAATTAATAACGTTATTCCTTTACTTTCGTACCCGTTACTTATGATTAATATTTCATGTCATAAGGAACGAATTAAGAGAGGAAAACGTGTCAATTAATAATTAGTTGCGAGAAAATGTTATCGCTTTAGCTGCCGAGCGTCATCTTGGCAGCGCATGTAAAGACACATTTCACTTGACTTACTTCAATTGAAGAAACTTTTTAATAAATATGATAATATACCGTCTAATTAGTATTTCCTTACTGATGCGTTATTTATTAATACATAAGCAAGGAGAATTAATTAATACTAAAATGTCGGGCGGTTGGCGTGGGTAGGGGGTAGGGGGTAGGGGGAAGGGAGGTGGAGGTGAAGGTGGAGGTGGAGCTGGAGGTACGCGGATAAATTTGTGTTATTTAAATTAATGAGAAGAGTAGATCTTGAGATGAAAAATAAAAAATTCTCCGCAGTCGTCGAAGTGTGCCATGTATATGACGTGAAAAAGTACGTAAAGTGTAAAATCCAATTAGTCGGCCGGAGTCAAAATGAAAAATTTCGTCCAATTGCTTCTTCGCGGCGAACCGTCATTCTGAAATTCTCTTCTTGGAAAAGGAAGGCGAAGCTCCAAGACGTGCTTAATTCGTCGAGCAAAGAGACAAAGGTTAACGGTCGTGGGCTATGATGTCTCGGCCAGGCCGTATAACTTGGGAACTCTTGGCACATCGGCAACGCATGGGCAACCGATCGAAGAGTAATGAGGAGAGACCGGGGTTTGGTTGGCGTCGGGGGGGGGGGAGGAGTTAGTCATGTTTTAGCGGTGCACAAGCGGAAGCTGCCGCCGGAATATTATACACTTATATGCGCTCGCCTTATTGGGACAGACAGGAAATCGCGTAGGCGGTGACGCAAATCTTCCCTTTTTTTTTCTCTACTCTCCTTTTGTCTCGTAACTCCTTCGCGACGCTATAAAATGCCGAGACTTTTATATGAAAAAAAATTTTTTTTTCATTTAGCGTTTGTGTGGCGCAATCCACTCCCCTTACATCGCTACGAACAAGTTCGTGGAATTTATATATCTCATGTTCGCGCGATTATTCTGTTGGTTTGATCGATACCACTATGGCGCGTCTCGTTTTTTCTACTCCTTGACAAGTCCACTACAACATAGCGCTTATGGACAGATAATTTGAAAAGAACAAAAGAATCAATTTAATAATGTTTTAATTACCGAGAACGTATATGAACATTAATTGTGTCTTTATATGTTGTAATTATTGGATGAGTGTATTAGATAATGTGCCTATATTATTTAGTGATTAGTTAACTCAATTTTGTATTATATGTACCAATTAATTGTCGTTGTATTGAAAATTACCATTGAAAATTATAATTTACTTTTTGTGTATTTATCAGTGCTAAGGTATTATTATTATTAAAAAAGTGTATAAATATTTATTTCTTACGTGTATTAATATTACATATTAAACTATAAATAAAAATTTTATTAAAATATAACTTTCCTTGTAGTGACTAGAAAAATTTCCAGTGTCAAGAATAATTTTATGTATTATGTAATTTAAGTGCTAATTGCTACAATGATAATAACATTTTATTATTTATTATTTACACTTGCACCTGACTTCTAGGTTTAGCAACTCTCGTATAATTAAGACGTTGATCAAATATAATTTTCCATCGTATGATTGTTATATAAAAGTTTATACATAAGAGTTATTTAAAAGAGTTAATTTAATAACTAATATATTTTAATTGTTCGATCTTAACTTTGCGCAATTGATATTGCGATAAAATGAAACATTCTCTATTGTAATTTAATTATTTTTAGATAATATTATTCGAGTACTCTTGCCGTTTTAATATATATATATATATATATATATATATATATATATATATATATATTTTGTTGTTGTTGTTGTTATGGATGACATCGTCCATTATGAATATAGAAACAAATTAAATAATGAAATATTCAAATAGTCGACAAGTACAATCAAACCTATTTACAAATGCAACTACGAAGACTAATCGGGCCGCTGAAAAATTGGGCTGTTTCAGAAAAAAAGGCGGAATGGTTGACCAGGCAGTATTGGACAAGCTCGAGGCTGGCTTCAACAAGCTCTCCTCCTCGGACAGCAAGTCCCTGTTGAAGAAATACTTAACCAAGGAGGTATTCGACGCCCTCAAGACCAAGAAAACGTCCTTCGATTCATCCCTCCTCGACGTCATCCAATCCGGTATCGAAAATCCCGACTCCGGTGTTGGCATCTACGCGCCGGACGCCGAGTCGTACACCCTCTTTGCAGACCTCTTCGATCCCATCATCGAGGACTATCATCGTGGATTCAAGAAGACCGACAAGCATCCACCAAAGGACTTCGGCGATGTCGACACTCTCGGCAATCTCGATCCATCTGTAAGCTGCTACCTACCATTACCACACTTTTTCATTCCAGCCTATTTTTTTTCTCTAGTCCCTCTTATTCATCCTCTCATTTGCAATTATACTTGATACCGAATAGTTTGCCCCCTTTCACCTACACTAAACTATTACCGCGTATATTATGATTTTCCACGGTGAGCTTTTCAGCTCTCTGTCAACGCCACTTTACCCCGCTGCATTTATATTCGCGGATTATGCTATACTATGACGACTACTCTGGCTACCTACTTTGAGTGCTTGTAATAACTATTTCTCGTTTCCTATTCAAAATTGGTTTAATTTCAAACGCAGATTAGTTCGTCCGTCATCCAGTTGACTGTTCTATGAATGTACTGTAGTAACTCGTTATAACAGCGGATATTGTAGAAAACGAGGTGAAAACGGGATAATTCTGTTAAACTAGAGTCACAAGAATGTTTAATAAAATTGGATCGTTTATTATGACTATTAGCCAGACGATTGCCGAGACGAATGTGACATAAGCCAGATTAATAATAATTTGGCAATTGCTGCTTAAGTAAATAACCGCAATTTTTCTGTAAATTTCGATGGAAATGCGTCGGCAATGCCCCTATGTAAACGACGTTTACGCGCACAAGATGGATTCACATAGACGCGAATTCACGATCAGTTCGACGTAATAAAGCATAAACGCAAATAGAAAATGAAGGCATATCGATATTTAATTGCCTTGGCATTGCTCTTATTGTTCAGGGGGAGTTCATCGTGTCAACCCGTGTGAGGTGCGGACGCTCCCTCCAGGGCTATCCATTTAATCCCTGCCTCACCGAGGCCCAGTACAAGGAAATGGAGCAGAAGGTGTCGAGCACTCTCTCTGGCCTCGAGGGCGAGCTCAAGGGTACCTTCTACCCACTCACAGGTATGAGCAAGGACGTGCAGCAGAAGCTTATCGACGACCACTTCCTCTTCAAGGAGGGCGACCGCTTCCTCCAGGCCGCCAATGCATGCCGTTTCTGGCCCACCGGACGTGGCATCTTTCACAACGATGCCAAGACCTTCCTGGTCTGGTGCAACGAGGAGGACCATCTTCGCATCATTTCCATGCAGATGGGTGGTGATCTTGGACAGGTTAGTGCACACACCGACATACCCGGCTTAACCATTCTTCCCCGATCGAGATAAATAAACCAACATATCATCGGGGCTGGGTGGGGGGGGGGTTGTTTAATTCCTGGATAGACACGCCAAATCAATTGAAGTTGTAAGTAAATGCTACATTATCGTAATATGACGGTTATAGGTGTACCGTCGTTTGGTGAGCGCTGTTAATGACATTGAGAAAAGGCTGCCCTTCTCCCATCATGAGCGTCTTGGCTTCTTGACCTTCTGCCCTACAAACCTGGGTACGACAGTCCGCGCTTCCGTGCACATCAAGGTGCCCAAGCTCGCAGCGAACAAGGTGAAGCTCGAAGAGGTTGCTTCCAAATTCAACCTTCAGGTAAGTCTCGATCATTCTAAATGCGTACCTAACATCGGCAAAAGCGTGTATTGATAATCCGTGTTGTGGAGGGGGAGGGGGAGGGGGGATGTAACAATCCAATGCTGGGCAATTGTTACCATTTTTGCACGAAACTGGTGTCCTTCGATATCGCGTGTTAATAAAGACTGATGCTTTGATCTGTTTGCCAATAATTAGGAAAGCAAGGCCGAATAATACAATTGCGTATAATCAGGATGTATTATTCATTTAGTCGGTTGAAATGTGCAAAGTTTCAAAACTGTTTGAAATTTGATTGAAATGACGTACTTATCGTCATTGAGAAGAATGTTTGTTTTATTTACTTTGGAATTACAAAGGTGAATTTTAATTTTGAACAAAATCATGCTCTTTTTAAACTATTAGAACAGGATTCTTTTTATTTTTTTATTTTTTTAAACTTGTTTGATGAAAAATTAACGAAAAAAAAAGATTTCATATGCCATTCCTAACTAATGACAAAATTACTTAGTTAGTAGACAACTATTAATACATATTGCTAAAAAGAGAAGAAAAAGAAAGTGAAAAAAACTGTTCCATTGTTCAAAGTTGCTTGGATCTTACCATTTATATTATACGTTAAGTATGATCATTACAATATATTCTCAAATATTACGACAAATAAAAAGTCGCTTTTAATTACCAAGGATTAACAAGTAACAAATTTTACATTCAATCGAAGATTGATCTTATAGATAATGACAAAGTCTTAAATTGTTAGTTTGAATTTATCGTTAAAAGTATAAGAGAGCAATGCGCTACAGTATCGCTTGGAATATGACTTTTTGAATTATGTCGATCAATTGTCATTTTTAGGTACGTGGTACACGTGGTGAACATACCGAGGCTGAAGGCGGCATCTACGATATCTCCAACAAGAGACGTCTGGGACTTACCGAGTATCAAGCTGTCAAGGAGATGCACGATGGCATTGCCGAACTTATCAAGATCGAAAAAGAGCTTTAAATGGTTGGTAAAGATGATAGTTGGCCTTTCAGCTTCCAACAAAATCTGTCCGTGTCCGTAACTTATTACTTTTACATATTGCTTTTGTATGGAAATGATATTGAAGGTGCTAAATTATTTTCAATCATAAATATTGCTTTCATCGTGAACGATTGTCGGGCAAATGAATGCAAAAGCGCATAGACAACAAAACTTAAATTTACAATAATATGCTGCTTTGGCAATTATAGTAAAACGCGTATTTTTAATTATTTGAATTTTATAATGAAATGAATGTTCCTTGCGAGACCAAATTGGAGACTTTAGATTGAAATAACAACATTACAAAATTGTAACAATTATTTAAAAAAGATAGAAAAAATATACAATGCGAATCGTAATTTATAGCAATTCGGACTATAATACTAATACGTGCAAAACATTTCTTTATTATTAAATTGTCGATAAAATAATCTTTGGAATTTTTAACTTTCTTAATCGAATAATAAATACTTTTATATCGACCATAATTGTTTTAATTATACGGATCTTCAATCTTTAAAATAATCTTATCTGTGAAATATTATAAATTTCATGCATATTTCAGACTCTAAATTAAATTAATGATAAATAAATTAAAATAAATTCTTGAAGAAAAAGGCAGTTTTTTTTTTTTTAAAAAAATAGCCAAACTTTATAGAATAAAGTATTAATTTGTCAAAACAAATTTCATTGCACATTTATAATTCAATATCACATTGTTTATAAGGATAATTTAACTACTACAAGTGCTTCTATTTTAATTTACATTTATTATTCTTCTAACAATCATATAATTTTAAATTAAATTTTCAATTAAAAATTTTAAGAATAGCTAACAAATGATTGTTAATAGCGATAAAATGACTTTAAATATACGTTGTCAAGAATTTTGACTAAAAAATTTATAAAATTACAATTTAATTTTAAATGCTTTTATAAATATAAATTTTTTTCGAAAAAGCTGTTCTTCGTTACTTTAATCCTGTCACAAATTAACATTCTTTTATAAACAATGTTAAATCGAGTAAAATTCTTTGAAATCAACCATTAGCATTTGTTATAGACTATGAAAAACATAATGAATTGGATTTTTTTTATGATATAAGTATATAATATTTTAACAGATAAATTTAAGATGGAGAATATTATTTTATTACTTGCATTAATATCAATATTTATATACATATTGATTGGCTATATTATTTATAAAAATAAGTTTCTTTTTAATTTAACCAATACGATCTTTTATGTTGCAGGTGCTCACCTACTTATTGGAGCAGCGAGAACTTTCCCCCCTCACTCTCTCTCACACACTCACTCACTTACTCTCTATCTCTCTGTTCATCCTTCTACCCCATCCTATTTTCCTCCAATATAGTATATCCACAAGATAAAAATAAATTAACAAGAAAATATCAGCAAATACTTACACGCGTAAAATACGGAAATTAATAAAATGTTAATGTAATAAGCATACGTGATTAAAAAGATTTAACCGCTAACACAATGATTCAAACTAATAAAAAATGAAAATAAAAACAAAACAATTAATAGTAATTTGTTGGAAAATGTGTATATATATGTATACATATATATATATATATGTATATATAATACATGTTTTTGTTGCGAATTTTTTTAAACTTCGATAAGTATTTCTTACGTAGAAACGCTCATCGAGTAGCTACAAATTATCGTTGATTATCGTATACATTGTTCAATAATAGCAGAAGTAATGATTCAAACTCTTAATGAGTGAATCATTTATTTTCAAATGATATGAACTATCAATTTGTTTTCAATCATTTCAATTGCAACAAAGTATAAACATGAAAAAATTGAAGTGACTTAGTTCCTTATATTTCACTGATAAGCGTGTATTGCATGAGATATATTAGTAATATTCCGGGGAAACGTGGATAGGAGGCGAAAAGGTGATGAAAGTAACCAAAGGAGAAAAAGAACAAGATTCAACAAGAGCGCTTGTACTATTGTATGTTATAATTTTCAGTATTTAATCGGTTTCGTTTTCTCTCCTTTTATGTATTATCGTCGCACTGGCATCGCGTCGCTTTATTTTTGCGTTTAATTCATTGTTCAAAGTTAATCAATACCTAATATAGCAAATGAAACATAAGTTTGCTTAATTAGCAATAAATATTTAGAATAAAATTTACAAGCTATAATATTTCAACATGAATTACACTTTTTCATTTATTGTTTATAGTATTATTCTACTTGTTCCTTTCGTTCGTATTATTTTTCCGATTTAGTTATTACATTTGTAATTGTGCGCTGAAATATTGGAATTGTGATGCGTATAGTTACTCGTGTTGTCCCGATGTTTTATTGTGATCGTCTCAGTGAAGTGAAGCGCTTTATAAAAAATAAAAACAAAAAAAAAACAACGTAACTTAATGATGTGACAAGAAAACCTATTTTAAATTAAAAATTAAAAGCACAGCCGATTATAAGATTTTATCATTGTTCATTTGAATTTTTAAAGACTTGATAATAAATCGAAGATCCGAGAAAGAATAAAACCAGTTCGAATGAGCGGTGATAGTGAAAAAAGAATTTGATATGAATGTTTAAAATTTTTATTAACAGTATTTTCTTGTGTATAAATAACTAGGTTTTTTTTTTTTTTTTTTTAAAGTAAATTCTATTATGCTTATTGTCATTATTCAAGCTACACGTGTTCGATCGTTTTTAACAAGTGAGCGAAAATGAAAAAAAAGTGAAAATTTGCAAATTGTGAAAGATTGCGCGAAATGCTGTGCAGTATTCGATTATCTATTTGAAGAAAGCAAAAAATGTATTAAAAATACAAGATTAGAACACGAATAAAAAACTTACACCTTAATTATGGATTTACTTTATTTATTAATTTCCCTAATACATTATTAAAACCATCAACAATGTTATACTCCATTTTTAAAAAAATTTTTTTTTTGTTTTTTTTTTGTTTTTTTTTTGTTTTTTTTTGTTTTTGTTTTTTAATACATCAAATTAAGATAATTGGAGAAACCAAGCTCTTTTGTGCTCGTTATTATGAATAATAAATAATGTAATTTTATATTTATATTCAAATGTATTCAATTATATTAATCCTCGACATATTAATAAATCAATAGCATTTTATAATGTATATTATCAAAAATAAAAAAATATTACTCTAATTTATTATTAAAATTGTTCATAGTTGATGTATGATTTTTTCATTTGAAAAAACAGGCATAAATGAAGTAATGTTTTTTTTCTATTTATATGCGTTTTAATGATAAAAAATTATTCAATTTCAATTTACGTTTTCTATAAAAAAAAATACTCTACAGGCAGGCAACCATTGATTTTCATTAAATTTATTATTATAGCTGTAACTATTATACAATTATATTGAATAATTACCACGGCATTGTAATATAAAAGCTTATGAATATCTCACTATTTCATGAATGTATATCCTACATATTTTATTGAATAAATTCTATCTATTTTAAATGAAAATTTATTGCAATTCAAAGTTTGTCATTATTTTTATATAGATTTATTTTGTATAGGATCGAAAAAGACAAAATAAATGTTATAATACTATTTGATATATGACAATAAAGAGTTGTGTAATAAATAAAATTGACGTACTCCTCGAGCAATAGAAATACGTAAAGAAAGTTTTTTGAAAAAAAAAGTGTTATATAGGCTGCTTTAATTAGTCAAATACATAAATACTATATTTTCACAGAATTATTTTATTTTAATATAATTATTTTATTATAATTAAACATTTTTAACATTATATTTTAATATTAGTTATCATTATATTAAACACGATACGTCGATTTATTTTATAAAATATTGATATTCCTTTACAACTACACAATGCATAAAATATAAAACTTTCATAACGCATATATAACAACGTTAAGTCTAAATTATTTAAATGATTTAATATTTTCGTAAAATAAGAACAGAAATTCAATCAACGATTAAAAGGAGAACAATAAGAAACTGTCTCATTGCTAAAATTATTATATAAAAAATTTTTAATCTCAGCTGGGATTATAAAAACGCGATTACATAAATCCAACCTGTTTAAAAAAAAAAAATTTAAATGTAATTATTCCATGAGCAAATGTATCCAGCCAACTCTCTATCTCTATCTTTCTCTCTCTCTCTCTCCCTCTCTCATTGTGCGTGTGCGTGTGTGTGAACACGCAGAGGACGGGATTGTGATTAAACGATCGCTCGATATTCCATTTTTCAAATGTTTCGGTTAGAATATTCCTGTAGTCGCCTCAAGTTTGATTGTTCTTGGAAATATATAAAGTCCTGAAACACAAAATTTGATTATCACGTTATATTATAATTAGTATTATGTGATATTTTTAATAATATATTATTAAGCAGGTGAATATAGAAAGAATTATAATAATAATGTAATAATACATATGCCTTGACTTAATTAAGGCTTTCAATCTTTAGCTCATCGACATATTGTATTTTAAATTTATCGCTTTTATTTATTTATACATTTAATCGAATGGTGGAGAACGATGACACTGTAATTATCAGGATCAGGATTTACATTTTAATACAGTGAGAAATTGATTAATTAGCTTTATATGCAAGTGTGAAACAGACGAAGTTGTTAAATGTTAACCTATAATTATGGCTACAATGTAAATTGATGATTTTGACTTTCTCATTATATATGAAGATCATGCAAATGATTGAGTTTTTCTGACACATTAATATTAATGCATTTCATTAAAAATAAAATACATTGCATGTTGCATTCTAAGTAATATGAAAGAATAAAATGTCTGTGTGAAAGTTTAAGAGGAACAGCGGAGGAAAAAGACAGAGATAGACAGAGGCCCAGAGAAAAGGTACGCGTCCCAGTAGCTAATACATTTTATTTTGTAATCTATTTTATTTTGTGATTTAATGCATATAATAAAGACATAGTTAGAATAATATTTTGAAGATTATTACCAGCGATGAAAATGTTAGAAAATTTTTCTATTTCAAATCTATTATAATATTAAATATAAATTTTTATGTATTTAACTAAAATATTTATAATAAATTTTTTTACCGCTACAAAAATAAGTTAATTAAATTAAGTGCAAATATATCGAAATATATAATTCGATTCCTAGTATATAAAACTTTCTTTTTATCATTTCAGTATAATATAAATTCAATAAATTATTCTATATCAAATATGTCGCTTTAACCGATTGAAGTTTTATTGCATTGTGAAACATTATGTTTATAAGAAATTGTTTATACGAATATCTTTATTAGTATATGTTTATTTAAGAATATATTACTATGAATATAATAAAAGTGAATATTGATTATAATTGTTTAATTAAGATGAAAAAGTATATCAATGCCGTTAGACTATCGTGTGAATTAGCTAATCTGATTTATAACTTGAATCTCTCAATTTTCTCAATTGAATTTTAGGAGTTTATCGTTATTTCAATTACAAAATATTTAAAAAACGTGTCATGTATTTAATTTGTTTTGTGCATGTAAATTTATTAATTTATTAATCATATGCAAGCTTGATTTCGTCATTTTAAGAACAAATGTTTTTAATTACGACTGAAAAAACAATTGAATGAGTAAAACGAATATTGTTTCTTACGATTAAGCTATTTTAAAAATATTATTTTAAATATTAGGTTACACACAGACAAAATATGTGAACTAATTTATATTTGATGATATATGTTTAAATATAGATTTTCATTTTATGTTTAGATGTTAAAAATACACGTAAAAATTATTGTATATTCGGCAATGGGAAAGAATCATTTCAAATTAATTATATCTACCGTAATAAAGCTTTTTTTTTTATTATTTATTTATTTATTATTTATTGTACAATGGTCTAAAAATGTTAAAGTGACAATATTTTTAATGATAAAATTAAAACTCGCCTTTGCGATTGAATATTTTATAATAGATTTATTAATAATACATACCAATAATTTTGAAAAGTTATTCGTTTTGATCATTATCGATTGAATAGAAAGGATAAAAATCGAAAGGATAGAAAGTATTAGTATTATAGTAACGTATAAATATTATTATAGTAACGTAGATGAAATTACACTTTTTTAAATCAAATTTTAAGAAAAACTAATATATTCCTAACGATGTCCATTGGTGCAGTAACATTTTAATTTGATATTATAAAATGTTATAATTTGCCAGAGTATTTAATGTTGTTAATCGATATAAGGAATGTTTATATAAAATATTTCACTTCTAGAAAATGTTCAAATATTACATTTAACGGCCGTATTTAAATAATTAACCTCGAGTGAAAAATCAGCGAAGGATGATATCCTTAATAATTGAATGATCCGGAAAATTAATCAAGTTATGGAATGAAAAGTAATTATCATAATGAAATTTAAATCTTTATATTCGTAACCAAATAATAGTGCAATAAAAAAAACTATTAACATAATTATCTAGTAAATCTCCTTCTCTCCCTCTCTCTCTCTCTCTCTCTCTTTCTCTCTCTCTCTCTCTCTCTGTTTTGTTGCGTTTATTAGAAAAATGAATGTATGATTTTGAGTTGACGACGGATAAAAAGCAATGAATTTATGTATTCGTAGTTCAATTGAAATTTATCATCAGATTCGCGTACGCGCACGCGCAAGTCTACTGAGTCTAGATAGACGTATTTTAAATGGCAATTAAGCTGAAAGAAGCAAAATTACGCCAGACATCATTGTCGTCAGCCTTTGCCTGTTCGTAAAACTCATTACACTCACAATTAGGAAGCAGGCGCCGATGAGAACGGCCTTGATTTTCACATCAAGGTCGACGGGGAAGCTGATGCCAAAGGAATCGCCTTCTTTAAAAAATCGCTTTGCAAGGCCTGACCAGTTTTTCGTTATCGTGCCAATGCTCTGCTGCTTATCGGTTGATCTTATCTGAAATATAGATGAGGTAGAGATGATCTACGTGGCTTTCACTGGCGGGCAATATTTATCGCTTCCTCTTATCAGACGCTAAGCGCACTCGTCATTAAAATTACGATACTACCCGAAGATATGATGTACTCGTGAATTGAGAAGCTCATGATGTTGCTTATCACGTTTCAGTTATAATCTTAGCCCATGGACAATTTTTGGATCTATTGTTCCAAAAAAATACCAGTGCATAAATAACATATTACTAATTGATAAGTTTTATGAACGATGACAACACATGCAGCTATCGCGTGCGTTTATAAATCATTAGAAATTGTTTCGAGTGAAAAGGTATTGATCAACAGAGCCGATTTTTATCAAGAATGAAGAATAATGTACCGATTCTATATAAAATTAACTTACTAATTTGTCAAAATGTTGTAGTTAATATTAATAATTAGAGATATATCGTTATTTTTTATTTCATTGACTTATTGAAGTCAAATTAAAAGCTCAAATATTATATGTAACCAATTGCATTCAATTTTATTATCATTTTACTACAATAATATTTGACCAAATTAATATTATTTTTTTTATTTTTTTTTTTCATATGCATAAATCACATTTAACCTTCAATTATCAACTATGCAATTTACTTATCTTTGTAAAGTTTTGTCATTACATAAATTGTGCAAATTTCAACTTACTTAGATAATAATTTCTTTTATTTGACTTGAATTAAGCTACTTTTGACATTTGTTAATGATTTATACCAAGAATGAAAAGATTTTGAGGAAACTCGTTTTTTGCATAGGAAATAGAATCCCTTTTTTTAAGAATTTCAAATTTGTTGTACTGGGTAAACATTATTTCATTCCTTTTTTGTACTAAACTAATTATTCTAATAAATGCATAATAATTTTCAATGCAAAAAATCTATTTTTATCCAAATTGTAAATATTGCGTTTCTATAATAATTTCTTTTTAATTTCAAATACCTTGTTTAGCAATATAACATTTTTTGCTAAATCGATTATTGAAGTTTGTTTATTAAGATTTATATTATTTAACATTAATCATAATTAATATTTTTCTTTAATTTTAAACATATCTCGAAGAAAGTGTACCATAATGATAAATTAAATTATCCTAGCACTATGGCGAAATAAAATTCCACTACATTATTAATAATAATATTCTTTATCATGATCCTTAAAACTTATTTTATTATATTAATAAAATTTCATAACAACAGTCATTAATAATAATCAATTAATCGTCATAAGAAGATCAATGATAAAATTTCTTAAAATAAATTCGTACAATTTTTAAAAATGTTCTCAAATTCATTAGAAGAAGAAGAAATTTCAGAATCTTTATTTATTTGCATATATTTAAACGATAATTAAAACTATTTGGTCTTTACAATTTGAATAATAAACATAATTTGCGTTTTATTTAAAAATATTTAAAAAATGAATAGTGAGCGTGGTGAACATTGTAAATCATATATTCATCAAATCTGAATATATTTTAATAAATTTTCCATTGAATGCTCAGCAAATTTTTTTTTCTTTAATACTGTACTTAGAAAATAAAACAATGTATTTGCCAAGTTGAAACTTCATAATTGTCATTTGAAACTTTTGAAATTGTTCTCTCTAGTTCGCTAATTGCTGCTGCGTCACAAATTTTCCCGTCTTATTGAAAGAAAGTTAGATTAATATACTACAGTAGTTTTTGAAAATAAAATATCATTTTAATAGCAACTGTATTATTGAATAAACAAATTTGCTTGAAATATATTAAGATTTCCCTAATTAGCAACGAATCATTTCCTAAGTATACAAAGATCAATAAAATTGGAAAATTTGTTAATTCAGCTCAAGATTTGTTTAATAACATTAGAATGCGATTAAACAAAAAACAGTAATAGAATTTTAATGATCATTAAGTTTTTGTTTATGTTAAATATCATTTTTCCGCGAATAACGTTTTTTATCAATACGTAGGCTTATTATTTATGACAATTACATTTGTGATAGCATCAGATTTTTCATTATAAATTGGCGATTCTTGAAAAACTATATCTTTGGTAGAATATCATTTTTAATAATTAAGAAAAAAATAAAAATTTTTACTAAATATATAAATAATTTTGAAAATATTATGTTTAGATGCGATATAATTATATTTATTGTATAAATTGTAAAATAACTTTTTACATTTGATTATGCAAATTTTCAATGTAAATATAACTGAATTAAATTTAATTAAACCTTAATTATATTGTCTATAATATTATGAAGATAATTCCTAAAAAATTATTTATTTTTTTTATGATTATTGAAAAGTTTAGATGCTGAATGTTAAGTATGTGATGATTATAAATAAAAATGCAATAAAATAGATATTTTTAATCGTTTATGTATGTATATTACGAACACGTATACTATATATATTATAAAATTGTCAAATTATACCTTGGGATACCTCTGAGCCGTAATTTATCTGTTCCTTTTAACAAAACTGATCCTTTAAATTAGTGAGTACGCTTACGTTTCCGAGTATTAAATCAGATAACTGATATTCTGTTTGGAAAATTGTGACTGAGAAAGATAGTTGGAAATAGTTAATCTAGGATTCGATTGTATTTTAACAAAAATTCACAGCGCACATTTATATCAATAGTATCGATCGCCTTGATAGTTATTTCAGAACAAATTATTATACAATACATGTTGTTAATTTAAAATATGTTTTATATTGAATAACATTATAAAAACAATCCTAGACAACTTTTAATTTTTTTTCGATACAAATCATCTTAAAACATAGCGGCAAATCATTTTATCATCTTTCGTTCGTCCTTTGCCTTTTTCATTTAACTTCACATCGTTGCTATGCCAGCCGTAATTATACTCAATCCTTAAGCTATTAATAAGAATAAATGGAAATTATTGAAGCATGCATTATTAATTTGGAAAAATATTGCAATTAAATAGGATAGAGTGTGCAAGAAAATTCGACAGTGAAATTAATGTTTGAGAAAACAATAAGAAAAGTCGAATTATTGTATGACTTATTGTAAGGAAAAATAGCTTCCTAGAGGTTACAAAATTTATACGGCTTTATTTAATATGTGACTCAGCAAAGGTTTCTTTTCAAAACTTGTTTTGAATGCAAGTCCGCAACAGATAATTAATTGCGCATTTACTATTTAGCTTATTGATAACATTTTAATTAAGATGCTCGATTATACGGCTTAAAGCTATAATATAGCCCGATAATAAAGTAGACACTTTATCTAAAAGAAAGGGAAAAGATCTTAAAAATGTAATATTGATAAGAAATTAAAAATTCTGCAATAATTTTATAGAAAAAAAAAAAAAAAAAAAAAAAAAAAAAAAAAAATTACATCTAACAGAACGCATATTGAGATTAAAACGAGCGCTTATGCTCTCGACGCGCTCTTACCTATATAAATGCAATAACATATAATGGATATGCGAGATAATCTCGTATAAATATGAAATATAAATAAATTAGTCTTAAAATACTCTTAATATTTTAATGAGAACTAGAAGGCATCATCGACCGTGAAAAAATACTGCTCAAACTATGCGAACGATTGTCGCTGCGATGCACAGATTTCTTCCAATTTAAAAAGTTTATCTGCTAAAATGAACGACACACAACATTTAGACGAATAAAAAATCGCGTATTCGCGAGAAAGCGTTAAAAACTAAATGCGATTGACTGGTGTATCGATAAAAAAAAAAATAATAAAAAAAAACAATTCTAATAATAATAATAAAGCAAGATAGAAAATGGAAGTGTACAACGCTATATTCGATGACTATAAGAAATCTATATTAAGATAATATTAAGATAAAATTCACTCGCGAAGACAATAGAGATATAAAAAGACTTTCAAATTAAATAGATAATAAGCAGACTTTGTAAGAGTTAAGCAATGGTTGGTTCATAGAAATTAAAAGCACAAAAGTGTTAACAGCTTAATACAGCGGTGCATAGGTATTTACTTTTATCCGAGCTCACTTATATTTCAACGAGCTTAATCCCTACTATCGATGTACTTCCATAAAAGCTCTGTACCCTTACTACGTATTGCTCATTCAGCGGGTGCGTAATAAGGCGAAATAAATTTGAATATCGTTATTCCGCGCCAAGCCTACGCATCAATTACAAACTATATTTTACAAATTTGCGAACGGCAGTGCTTTGTATTCATAAGCTTGTAAAATCGGCTCGCGAGGATTACCAATTAACTGGCCTTTGCCTGCTTCTCGAACAACTCAACTTCATCCAAAATCATACGTACTATCAATGATTATTCATTGTGCTTTGGATCACGGCATCCAAATAATTCCCGAAAGTACGATTCGGGATTTGGGGACTTGTAACGCTATTCAGCAGTAAATTGTTCACATGAGATTGTTCTCGTTAGCAAAGTGTCCAACCACATTGACGAAACTCGTTGCTGCTCGCTTAGCGATTTGTGCACGAGCATAGCATTCAACGTCTCTTGGAGGAATGGCGGAGAACAGGAGGAGAAGGTTCGTCTTCCTTACGCGAAAATTCACGTTGCCGATGCAGTAGTAGGTGATCGGACCCTTGATGTAGAGTACCGGCGAGTCGAGGGAATCGAGGATCGTGAACGAGGGCCTCCAGGCGTTGCAGTTCTGCCTCACCGAACCCAGCAGTTGGTTGTTCGCGTGAATCGTCATTCGCTAGAAAGAGAACATTCGTAAGCTTTTTCCATGGCTCATTGATTTTGATGCTTGATATTATTTTTCTCTGTCTTATCTAGTACGTCTGCGTAATTTAACGGGGGTCAACCTTACTAATTATACTCGTGCATTAAATCTTTTACAAACTTAAATTCTTTAAAGACAGATGCTCTTCGAAAGTTTTTCTTGAAATCTATCGATTTACGAAAGATTATGTCGACAGTAGGGTTTGTGTAAATGAAAATGCACTTGCATCATAAACAATGCAATTCTCTGATTAATTAAATCAAAATATTCATTTGTAATAATAATTAAGAAGTGTAGCTTGGTATTGGATAATGAAATTTTCAATTAGTCAAAAAGTAATCGAAACTAACTATTGATATCAATCATATGTCATTAAAAAGAAACAACCATACACCATGCTATCTGATATATTTTTAATACTATTAATCAATAAATAGTTTTATAATTGAAATGAAAAAAAAAAAAAAATTTAAGTTTAAATAAATAATTCAAGTTTAAAATATTATTATTAAGCAATTTTATAACAGCTTAAAAAGTAAAAATTCTAACAAATTTTTTATCTTTAAGAAATAGATTTAATCAATGAAAATTTAATGAATTCAATCAGAGCGATCGACAATTTGTAACTTTTAAAAATAAATTACACTTTCACTTGTAATTTCACAACAAAATTTGAAATCAATATACATTAAATGAATAATCCATTACGTTCGATTAAATAAATTAATTTATAATGACTTGCTTTTTTGTAGAAAATTTATATAAATCATTTGCATTTGCATTATCGCATACAAAAAAAAAAACAAAACAAAAAAAACACAAAATAATAATGCATTAGAAGGAAATAGAAAATGTAAAACTGTTATTGTGTTATGTTTTTTATGGTACTTTGAAATTCTTTTAGATTCAATATTGTCTAAAGTTTTTGTTCTTGTGAAATATTAAAATTTACTTCAATTTGTAAACAAATATTTCAAATACTAGAGTTTGAATAACTCCACAACTTTCATTTTCTACTTGGTTATTCAATCGGACGTTTAATCGATCGTGTAATTTGTAAAATTTGATTATTCAATTCGAAATTTAAAACTATTTTGATCATATTATGCATACAAATGTTGTAATAGTGATTACTGAAAGAAAGAAAAAAGCTTCGTAATTTGTAAAGTTTAATATACAATTGAATGTAAAGTTAAAAATGCATTGTAAATGTAAATCGATGGATTTTTCACGAAGATTTATAAAATGTTTAAGAAGCAAAATGAAGAAGAATTTTTTGGCTTTTATTTAAAATGTTAGTCAAGCTAATTAATTATACATAATACAATGTATGCTAATAACATACAGATCTTTAAAACAAATATTATTTCAATTTTCTTATCAATATATTTTTAATATATGTGCAAATATATATTATTAATCTTATTACGTATTTTATTAGTTGTAAAACACTTTATATTTGAGGTACCTTGGTTTTTATTTCATGCATTAGTTATAAAATTTATGATAAAAATTAAAAGTCAATCATCCACTTTAGCAGTGAGTGTTAATGAAAAATAAAATGTTAAAAGCAGATTTTTATTTCTTTATCCTATATGTATTGAATAATTTATATAATGCATTATAAAGATAAAAATAATCCAAAAAACATGATAAGTTTAAAATTGTATTGAAATTATGGCATAATAATTATTAAATTTGATTAAATAATAGTTAAAAGCTACAGGAGTATTCTTATTTTTTAATGTACAGCCAAAATTAATATATATATATATATATATATTATATATATAAATGTTTTTTATCGGATCATTGTCGATATTCTATATGTCGGACAGACAAATATGAGTATTATTAAAAGTTATTGTTACGTAAAGGTATGATGAATTTTTTCAATAATACTTATTTCATATAAGTACGCTAACAGCATTGAAAAAGAATATTTACTAAATCTTTTATGTCTTTTATTTTATACTATGCAAAAAATGTATTAATATAATAGTTTGTTAATCTATTTTAATAACAGTTTTGTTAATACTTAAATAAATAATTAAAATGATTAACCGTTTGGCATAGTATTTTATCAATTTGCTCAGATTTATAATGGAAAATTAAATACAAAAATTAATCAAGAATCGTATAAGAAGCTATTCACAAAGAATAAAACATTAATAATATTACAAATTACATAATGGAAGATTATTTAACGATGTCGAACTTGAAAATATTCTATGAAAAATGATCAGGTTGATTAATACATTAAAAATCTCGTCGAAAATATTGAAAGGAAAAAGAAACTATATCTAATAGTGAAATATCTAAATGTATTTCTTATCTTTATTAGAAGATTCAATTAAAATTGAAATTAATTTGATGCTTGCATAATTCAAATAATTTATCATTGGCCGAGTATTACGATTAATAACGATGAAAATATTCAACTAACATGATTAAATTTAGGTAAAAATTTAATGCATTATTATTATCATTAGACTTTTTAAATATTCATTTAATCCAAGATATGATTTTAATAAAAGAAACGAGTTTCTACTTTATTTCAGTTTTACTTTTATACACACAACATTTTATACGTCCAATAACGACATTTGATCAAGTAATATAAAAATAATACTGTTTTATATGAAAATATAATGTTCCTAAAGATAATATGGTTGAGTAAAATTCCATGGATCTGAAGTTTTTAGGAACGCTAGTACTACTTCCGGAAAATGAAATCAAGATTCCTTATCTCTTACCTAAAGTAAATTAAAGATAAATGAAATTGAAGTTAAATATATACATATACAAATATATATATATATATATATATATATATATATATATATATATATATATATCAAATCGATTGAAAACATTAAATTCAAATAAATTACACAGAGTAGAGCATGTATTATAAATAATGTACTAGTGAATATTACAGACTGTAGTGTCGGTTGTTACATAATATTCAGAATAATAAACACAGAGAAACTTTTTTGTAAAGCCTGTGTCGGTATATATTAAATGTCTGTAGCAACAAAGGTAATTGGCAGTACTTTCTATTGATTACAAGGTCTTGAATATGAGTAAGAGTCTCTCAAGTACCGTCAACAATTTACTGTTCACCAAACACTGGAGAACATTGAGAGATAATTGTGGATCGTTGAGAAGGGCAACGATTCTTCTTGGAGAAGAGTTCCAAGAGTCTCTAGAGGTGGGCAAATCTTACCTGCAAACAGCAGGGAAAGCAGCAGCTGGAGCATCTAAGCGAGCGAGTTAGCCGGAAGATCTCTCGATGATGCTTATCGAGGAGGTGGAAGTTCCAGCCCCGATGCTTACCTAAGCAGCAACGTGAGCATACATCGGATTCCTCGAGAGCGACGTAGATGAGCTCACCGTTGGCGCTTGACACTCGGTACTGTTTATTGCTCTCCCATAGGTGTAGCGCTACAATGGATAAATGTCTATGGAATTTCTATCATTCGAACGTTACTGGGTGCTCAGATACGGGAATCACACAATAAACTTTAAATTAGTGATCGTAGACATGTTCGACTGTAGAATTGCGTTAATCAAGAGAGAATAGTAAATAAATAATAGTAAACATTATTAGGGCTTCCCATTATATTATTCATATAATTTTTATTTATCTTTTCGAATTCTATTTAAATATATCATTATTACGATCGTTGAATAGAAATTTCAGATAAAAAGTAGTTATAATTATTATCTTTGTTCTTATCTTCAATATCATAATTATTATAATTATTATTAATCCAATACTTTAAATTGTTTTAAATTCATTTTTCTTCGCTTCGAAGTACAAAATTACATAGGATATTGGTTCCTATGAATCGTATCTATTAATAATCAAAACGTACAATTTAACGTACTTAATTCTTTATTTTTATATAAAAATTACCAATTATGAATGTCGTAATTCATTCTAAAATTTAAGGATCATACATACATATATATAGATAATATTATAATAACATACAACAGCGTATGTGCGTTAGGGTCACTATGTATATGTGCATAAACATCATTCATATTGTTTTTTATTTGCCTCTGAATTTTATTTGAAAATAATGCTCAAATATTATTTTCTCTTTACTAAAACTTATATTTCAATAGAGCATCGTGATTGTTATGTATGATTTTTATTATTAAAGCGTAGTTGATGACTATCTAGTAAGATGGTAAATATCATCATTAACCGATGTATATAATAATAAATAGTATTTGATCAAATATTTGTTTTTTATATTAATAAGTGAATAATTATTACCACAGATAACGGCTAAATTAAATAGCAATACGGTTGATGCTACTTTTTTTTCATAATATATGTCCGTTCATCACTATAGAGTCGACTAAATTTATATTAAAAAAAAAATTTGTTTTCTAAATTTTTTATGTCCAACGGTCTAGCCCGAATTAATTAATAACGTTCATACATTGAATAATCTAAATATTGATTTATATTATATTTAAGCACTTGATACAATCGATCAGCACATGTAATCTTATCCGGATAAATTTAATTAGATGACAAAAAAAAAAAAATTTTAATGCAGAAATAAGGGTAAACGTTGCGAGATTGTTTATTTATTTATAAGACTTGATTGTCCATCAATGCTGTAACATTGCTTCAATCAATATTTTTTCAACGGTACAAGTCTCTAAAATAAGCCACAAGAATTTTATAAATTATATTTTTAATACACAGCGCACATCCGATATTTTCACTTCGATTTTCAATGAATGCGAATATATTTTAATTATACAAAAAAAAAGTTTTGTTAACAATGTTTAGATAATATTAGATAAATCCAAGTCATAATTTAATGGTAATTTTGGCTAGTAGAAAAATATCCAAATTTTCACTCTAAAATAATACGTGTATTACTCTTATTATAAGCAATACTGCTTAAAAGATAAAAATATTGATTGCGATATGCCCTTATTATTATGAGGAAGAGCATTTTTATGGCTAGAATGATGGATGCCCCAAAGCACAAAGAAATTAGCTTCTCGTAAATGATAATTTTACTCGAGCGTTAATTCTTCACTACGTACAGGATCAATCATTGTGCACGAGCAATCTAGTGCCCAAAGGAGCCGCCTTTCACGGTCTTAATGGCCTCACGTTTAATTATTTTAAACTCGCGTTGTCTAACCAATCAACTACTTCGCCGAGCCATCTCCACTATGGCTTTTCTTCGTGTGAGTCGAGCGACCTGGGGTCATCGCGATTCCGGGGAAACAAGGATTCGGGAATACATACCTTCGACACTGTCCTGCTCGCCGTCGACGAATATCCGATCAAGGGGCATAAGCGAGAGTAAGCCTGGTGGAAAGGTCGTACTCGTCTCTCGCCATCCTGCTGCATCCACCACCGAGAACAGACAAGCGGATAAGGCACAGGGACGCGCGCGCGCGCGCGCGGGCAGAGTAATAAATGCACTTTGATCGTGGGACTCGGTGTGCAAAATTCAGGCCCGGACGTAATCCAGGAGGGAGACGCGGCCGACTCGGCAGCCGTAGACGCCCGGGGTTTGGCTCGCCAGCGATCTAAGGGATGCTCACGAGGATTAATATTACGTCGAATGCTCGCGGCCATCCGAATTACGATCATGCCAAGGCTTCCCGTCGCTTTTCCGCGAATGGATTTCCGCTGGCACGACTTGGACGTTCGGACAGTTGAGCTTCAAGCCATGAAGCTTGAACGCACCCGCATTATGTGATAATTGAAGCTTTTGCGTCAATTGCATTGAGCAGGCAATACGCATTGCAAAAATTGACCAAGTAAATGCATGTGTATGTGGCAAATTATGGCAAAATATGGGCGTTGAAATGCCTTTAGATGATTCGAATGAATCAAATTCCGCTAACATTGATAACAAACAGTTGTCATGAGAGGCATTTAATTTTCTTTATCGAAATTATTTTTATACGTATTATAAAATATCAAGATAAATTTTATTAGTACGCACACGCGCGCACATAAATAAAATTTACAATTAATTATATAAACAAAAATAATTTTTTTTTTTTTTTATTATTATTGTATATATGCAGTAATTGTATTTTTACAATTTATATTTTCAATTGTAATAGTGCTTAGTTACGTTTTATAAGTCTAAGTATTTAGTATAAAGAATAATTTATAGCCATATACTTTTGGTTGTAAATGTACAAATTATCTATGTGAGTTTATAATATTAAGCTCCTATATCTTTTACTTATATAATAAAATTATTTAATTGGCATTTATATTTTAAAATTTTTTATACCATTTACAAAGTCTCTACTCGCAAGTTTAATTACTTCCAAGCCAATGATATATAAAAATTTAAGTGACGCTTAAAATTTACCATATACACAAAGGTTTATAGCTCTTTCCGAATCAATATATATTTTATACTAAAATCAAAGTATTTTATAATTGTTGTTAAATTCTTAAAAATAAGATTTTTCAAAAGACAGATGCAAAATTTAAAAATCCAAGGACTTTTACCGATTATTTATTTTCTAATATTTGAGTAAATTTTCTCTCGATTCTACAAAATTTCTCTCCATACTTTTAAATGATTTTGCGCGAATATTTTGAAGAAAAAAAAAACTTCATCTCTAATTTTTTTTTGCAAATTTCACCGGACATTCAAATAGTAATTGTCGAACGACTGGCATTTTCAAAGACGAAAATTGGCCCAATTGCTATGAACCTCGGCCATCAATGCCTCACAAGCGTTATAGACGAGTAAATTAATTGTAACTCTGCTCATTTGTCAAATCTACTTTTATCATATTAACGTGTCAAGCATTGGACACATATCCGTCGTCCCTTTCAAACGTGAGTCTCGTAATTGAATAACTAAGGCAAGACTGTGGATTGACAGTCGGCGTTCGATAAAAGCCAACTAGCAAGCTTCAACGTGATTATTCACCAATAGCAAGAGCGAGTGATTTCATAATATAAAAAGAATAATAATAGGAACCTGATGCGTTGCTCTTCCTCGGTACGAAATCGCACATAGCCCGCACGTCGCCTCCTAAAGCGCAAAGTGCCGCAGTTAATTAGGATTTTGCGCACGTGTCTACTGATCAACCGTAGCTTAAGCTTCCACGAGTGCTCCGAGGAGTAATAATCGTCGCTGTCCATTTCCCCGCCTTTATCACTTCATTCTTCCATCCAATTATCCAATATTGTTCTAACAATTATTAGCGAGCCTTTCGCGCCACCAACGCCAGATGAACTTTACCGACGAGTTGACTTTCGATGCACCTTTACTTCCTACAGCTTCCACCGTCTTCCTCTTAACGACCCTCCGACTTCATCATCCTCACCTCCAAAGCTTGTCTTTATCAATATTACCAGGCTGTCTCTGCTCTTTCATTCTTAAATTCTGCACATTATACTTCTGCGCGCAAACTAATTCCAATCCCTGGGGATTACAGAAAATCATTATTATCTTACTTTTACAGAATGCTCGCGAGGAATTTCGCTAGAATTCAGTGTCTTAAAAATCGATGAACACTTAATCTGTTCATTGACCCATTTTCTCTTAGCTTCTCGATAATCTATTAATAGATTATTATCACGTGTGGCTATCTAAGAATTTCTAATATAATATAAAATATCAAACATTCTTCGATAGCGACGAATTTTTCGTATACTCCAAGATTGTCATTTAATAATTTTATTTTTATGCGTGAGCATTGTTAGCACGTCAAATATCAGGCTGTCGAACTACTCGTTTTCCTAATTTTGCTGATAAAACAAAAAAAAAAAACAAAAAAAAAAACAAAAAAACAAACAAAAAAAACAAAAAAAAAGAAGAAATTCGTAATAAACGAGCGTATTAGTTCTATTCCCTTTACATACAATTTTCCTCAATTTTTGTGCACACTTACAAAAGTTTGAATACGTTTTTATCTTTTTCTTTTTTTTTTTTTTTAAATTCGAATTCAGAGCAAAGATCGATAATAGTTTGGAACAAAAATGATCTCTCTCTCTCTTTCTCTCTCTCTCTCTCTCTCTCTCTCTCTCTCTCTCTCTATTTACTTAATTATTCTCATGGAATAAGCATAATTTCTGTTTACATTTTGCGCTTTGTCCCGTCGCGATAACGATGTCTACGATATTAGGTAAATACAAAATTTCACTTTCGAAACTTGTTCCAATAATATATCTCGCCATATCTATACATATCTATACATATTTATATTTATATTTATATTTATTTATCAGTACAGAAAATTTCACATATTTATATGAGCATTTATTCATCATGATTATTCATCTAACAAAAATAACAATTAATACATTTACACGTGATTAGCAGCATTTACAATGGTTGTGTAAGCTCTGCACAAATTTAATAATTTAACGCAATCTATTTATTTCAATGGAATAAATAATTTGACATCGCGTTGGGGCGTCATGACTTTTATAAACATTTCTTTCTACATTTTGAATTTTCTAGCTCTGTGTACGATGCGTACGTAATGCAGGAGACCAAATATCGAGAAACATGCTATTTCTTTTTCTTTTAAATTTTTAAATATTTATGATCAAGTGTATTATCGGATGCCGCACACGGCTATTAACATTTCGCGGCTGAAAAATTCTTTCATCAAAGCAGCCCCTACTGGAAAGTCACAAGTACCTATTGCGCAAGAAAAGCACTCGACGAGCGTCATATAATGTCGCGCACACAAAAATCAGGAAACTTGCGTAGCCACCGGATAAGCTCACCGACCATCCAATGGGGTAAACCCCAATCAACAGAAGCTATCCGCGTACCTTGGATCTCCGTCTTATTGGTGCCTTGCGGCGTCCGGAGGAAGGCTGCCGTGCAGTGAGGTGATTCGACGACACGCGACTCTTCCACTCGCGGTGAATACGACAACGATACTGGGATCCGAGTCGAGACACACGTACCACCGATGCGCCATCCACGGGGCCAAGTCGCTGATAATGCCAAGCGCTGATAAGCCTCGCGACCCTCTCCTCCTCCTACCGCCATACCCCCCACCCCTACGTAATTAGCTGGGCACTTGGATAGCGCGCGTTATTAGGCAGCGTTTGACACTGTTGATGACTCCCGGTGCTGACAGCCCACTACATAACGGGACGCTGCTAATTGTCATTAATCATTAAGATACGGCCATTTGGCACGCGTGTACTTTGGTGTAATTTATCGTGGTATTACATTCGCGAGCTCCCCCGAGTCTTTTCACCTGCTGCCGTCCGGCCCTCGCATTCTATCCGACCGAATGAACTATGACCGAATAACTGAATGACTTAAACGATCGTACGAATTACATTCGTTTGCCCGATCGCTTTTATCATCTCTTTGGATAATAATGCTCAGCGATGCGCTTATCGGCCTCCTTTAACGCTTTATATAATTGCCTCATTTAACAAAGTTTAATTACTTTTAATCGCACGCTTTCAAATCTTTTTTCGCATTATAAATTATACACGCGAATAATCATAGGGATGTTTGCTAATTTATTGCGTTGAAATGTTCATTCGCACAGAAATGGATATTTGTGCATGAGCAAGTCCATCGACTAAGTACGTCTGTAATTAAAGGCATTTGGAATGAGTCTCGCTCTTGGAGTAATGTTTAAATAATTTTTGCCCCTTGACATTTGAACTTAACTTACGTTCCTTTTTTTTTACTTTTTTTTGTTTTTTTGTCAATTCAGCGAGCAGGGCTAAGTCTCCGCGATATTCGGCTATTCTCCAACGCTCATTAAAAGTACTTAAACAATTTCAATGTCATCGAACACAATACAAAATAATTGTTCGTGTTGTTTACATATTGGCTACGTAGGAAAAGCCTTTATACCGCGTAATAGCGCTTAAATGGCTTTCGAGGCTTGATTTATTCGCCGATTAATAGAGTCATTGAAAAAGTTACAAATATGTGCAATTTAATGATTACGTAACACGATTGGCCTAGAACTTGACGAGCGATAAAATTGGTAGGAAGCGTACGTTCGTGGCTATTTGGTCGTTGCAATTGCCGATAACATAAAGATAGGCGAAGGGCGGCAGGAAAACGGCACCGACTGCTAACTTAACTAACCTTCGCAAAAAGCTTTTCAACACTAATCACGTAGGCCGAAAAGTGAAATTATCGAGTGAAGCCCGATACTTTGATTTTTCGATTGATGAATAGAAAAAAAAAAAAAAAAAATTCATTAGCGGCTCGAGGAACAGACGCTCCATCCATCGGTCCATAACTTATTTACGGTGAAACTTGAAAAAATTAATAATGGCTTTTAAAAACGCTTTGGCGATGGGAAAGACAAAAAAAAATTGTATTCAAGAATCTTTCAGTTTCGTGCGCGTAAAATGTGAATAAGATTTTAGATAGTGACTCTCGTTAAAAAATATAATTATAATATCTTACTTTTATTAACATTTTCCAAGTATGCATTAATCAAATTGTTATCTGCATTAAAGTCTCTTTGGATAAATATACAAGAAAAAGAAAAAAGAAAAAAAAAGAAAATGAAAGAAAGAAGGAAAGAAAAGAGACGAAAGAAAAAAGAACAAGAAAAGGAAAAAAGAGGAAAAAAACGGTTAAACAACATTTCCAATTGCACTTGAAAAGACACAGATAGGATATAAGCTGCTTAATCGCATCAATCAATATTTTATACGATATTCTGAAATATATTCTTCAAAACACAGAATATCATAACAATAAATTTAATAATAAGAAAAAGCTGAAGATAACGCATAGAATTGAGTTGACATTAACAGTAAATAACGCGCGCGCACAAGCACAAACACACAACAAAAATCAGAAATACATGGAGAATAATAAATTAATTATCGAATGTTTAATTATAATGTCAATGTTAATCTAAAATTAGTTTATACATATTGTTTGTTCGATAAATTCACAACCAGGTCTTTGTATTTGGGAAAATATTTTTTAGAGCATTTATTCAACGCCACGATACTTTTATCCTTCAAAATAGTCGCTAAACTTACATTGGTAAAAGCGACATTGCAAATATCTCATAAGATAAATCGACCTACAAATCCAAATTATTTCCAATGATAATCGTCGTGACAACCCTTGCGATAAATGTTCTTTCGCACACTCGAAAGCCTCGCCTCTGCGCGAAATTACCAAAGCGATCGCTTAAAGGTCAAACGCCTCCACATCGTCGACACATCCCCATGAAAGTATCGAAGGGTGTCGAGGCGCTATAAACTAATGTAAATGCACAAGGCACAAACATTTAAGCCAGTAAACGTCAGAGTAGAAAGCATTGAGTCTCCGGGGACTCGTGTTGCATACTATTGCACGATGGCGGGCGGCAAGGTCGGGGGGGGGGGGGGGGGGTGGGGGGG